GTAGTAGAGTACCTGCTTCCTATACATAAAATCGTAGGTTCAACCCTCAATACTGAAAAAAAAAGAAAAGAAAAACTTGTGGGATATGGTGGCACATGTCTTTAATCCCACCACTCATGAAGCAAAGGCCAGCCTGGTTTACATAGTGAGTTCCATTCAGGACTACATAGTGAGACCTTGTCTCAAAATAATAATAATAATAATAATAATAATAGCCCCACATAGAAGGAGTGACAGGCTAAGACGAGGAAGGCCCAATGCTAGGCATGGTGGTACATATCTCTAATCCCAGCCCTTGGGAGGTGAAAGCAAGAGGACCAGGTGTTCAAGGCTAGTTTTGGTTATGTAGCCAGCTTGAGGGTAGCCTGAGCTACATGAGACTCAATCTAAGAAAAAAAACCTGGAAAGGCCCAAGAAGCACCTGGGTTCCCCATGTTCTTGAACCTTGAAACTACAAATTACAAGAAAACCTTTTTTTTTTTTTTTTTTTTTTTTTTTGGTACTAGGATCACCAGAACAAACCCCTCACATGCTAAACTCATGCTAAGCATGTGTTCTACAACTGAGCTATATCCCTGACCTAACTACCTTTTTGAGCACCAAAGGCAGTGATGTCTCTCCTGATGGTCTCTGGGGGCTCTCAGGACACTTCGCCAGCACAGACTCGTTCATGATCACGGACACAAAGAGATCATACTTCAGCAGCTGCCTTAGCAGACCTAGGAAGCAAGGGGTTGAGAAGTGAGGCAAGGGCACAGGCACCAGACACCAGAGCACTCCTCAGACATCCCCTGGGAAACTCCTTCAGGTCTCTGCAGATATGTATGGTTTGAATACTTAAGCACCAGCTTCCTTTTGGTAACCCATCTTCCCCCTACAAGGATCTGAGGGAACCTACCAAGTGCATGGCCTAAGAGTCTAGGAATTCAGTGGTAGGCAGAACAAACATAGCCCTCATTATACACTGACCTCTGGGACAGGGATAACATCAGTATCACCACTGTACATCCATCACCTGATACTGTTGGTGATATACAGCAAGATCTCAGTAAGTGTCTGTGTGGTGTGTGTGTGTGTTTGTGATGTGCATGCATGTGTGTGCAGTGTGCTCATGTGACCCTGTGTGGAGGCCATAGGTCAATGTCTAGATATCTTCTTCAACCACTTCTCCCCCTTATTATTATTTTTTTAATTATTATTTTTTAAGTATCTATTTGCGGATTGGAGAGATGGCTCAGCACTTAAAAGCATGGGTTGCTCTTGCAGAGGAATTAGGTTTGATTCCCAGCACCCACATGGAAGCTAACAACCATCCATAATTATAGATCCATGGGATCCAACTGTAATAGGGCACCTTCTTGACCACAGCTACGCCATGTTAAACTTTAGGCTGACTCCAATCTCTGAAATTATCAGGCAGTTGGCCCAGGGTATGGGAACACATATCAGCTGGACCACAGTTGTCTTGAGAACAGGTCGGCGTGTCCTGGAGAACATCTGCTAACTGCAGATTTATGGCTTCTGTAGGTTATGCTTGGCTTGCTTCTGCAAATAGTAATTGTTACTTAATAGAATAGAAATTGTTAAGGGGGCTCTGCACCTGGATGCTTGGGAACTTAAACTTTTCACCCCTGGTTATGGTTTCTCTGTATAAAAGAGATGGTTAGAGATGGCTCAGGGCTACACACTTGTGTTCTGACACCCCTGTACAGTATCCCTGGCCAGCAATGACTTTCACTCAGCAAAACCTTGTCTGAGTGGTCTTCTCTCCACAACAGACACAACACAACACTCTCTTCTGACTTGTGTGGGCATTGCACGACATGGGTGCACTTACATACATGCAGGCAATACACTTATACACATAAAATAAAAATAACAAATAGAATATTTTTAAAAGGGGGAAAGCCATGGCTAGGGTATAGCTTGGGGATAGAGCATGAGCTCAAGGAACAAGATATATAATAAATAAACAGTTCTCTACTCAGAAGCATCTGACAGGTCTTGTGTAAGTACAGAACAAGACACTAGGAGAGCATATTGCGGCTCCTAAGCATCCTCAGATAGCCAGGGACAGTACGGTATGCCATGTCTATAATCCCAACCTAAATAGGAAGACAGAGTTGGAGGTGAGCCTAGCTTACATACCAAGACACCACCTAAAACAAAACAAAACAAAACAAAACAAAACAAAAAGCCTGTATTACCAGCAGAGACTAACAAACAGAGAAGCCTAGACTTTACCCTGGAGGCCAGACGAGGTCATGGAAGACTTTTCTGTCTAACAAAGTGACTGCACAGAAGAGAGAGAAGATGTGTAGTGTAGAAATTAACTTTGGCAGCAAGTTCAGGCTGTAAAGACCTGGGGCAGAAAAATTGTCCTATTGTCCCTCTTCTTTTCATCCCAAAGACAAGGTTCTTAAGATGCCACACTAAATCTAGCCGTCTTTCACACACTCTATGCATCGTATCACCCAAACACGGCTTCTTCCCCCTCCAGTGCAGCAAACCCCCACACAACCAGGACAGCCAAGATCATGAATTCTTACGCATAACCTCAAAAGCATGCCTTCCTTTATCCTCCAGCTCCACTGTCTTACCCAAGCAGTTGATCTGTAGTTCCTTCGTCTGGGCATCGTCCAGGATGGAAAGGAAGAGGGGGCACAGCTTCTCCCGGAAATGGCCGGAAAGCATCTCAGCTGCCACTGGTGAGGAGTAGAGCTTCCCATACAGGTAACAGACGGAAGCTTGCACCCCTTCATTGGGGTACACCAGGCCTCTCAACAGATGGTCTGTCACATTTCCTGTCCAGAAAAGATCCAAGAAACCAGAAGAAATCTTTTTTAATATTTTATTACTTTTGTTTTTTATGTGTATGAGGCTATTGTCTGCATGCATATAAGTATGCCCATGTCATACAAGGCCCGTGGAGGTCAGAAGAGGGTGTCAGATCCCTTGGAACTAGAATTATGGACAGTAGTTAGCCTCCATGTGGGTGCTGGGAATTGAACCCAGGTCCTCTGCAAAGAGTGGCTAGTGCTCTTAACCACTGAGCCATCTCTCCAGACCCCAGGAAGAAATCTTATAACATCAATTGCCATATAAAACTCCAAACTATAGGGCTGGAGAGATGGCTCAGTGGTTAAGAGCACCGACTGCTCTTGCAGAAGACCCAGGTGATTCCCAGCACCCACATGGCAGCTAACAACCATTGGTAACTCCAGTTCTGGGGGAATCCGATACCTTCTTCTGAGCTCCACAGGTACTGCACAAAGCCAGTGCACTTACACACATAAAATAAAAATGATAAAATATTTTAAAAACTCCAAACTATTATCCCAGTGGGGTAATGGTGATTTCCTATAATTTCCTACAATAAATGTATTCTAAGTGCTTAACCAAAAAGAGAAAATCAGCTTAAAGGGTACATCTTCTAGGAGATATATATTTGCATTTCAGTGATTTTTTAAAAAAGGTACTCTGGGTTAGTGAAATGCCTCAGTGGGCAGAGCAGCATGCCTTAAAGCTTGATAGGGGCTGGAGAGATGGCTCAGCGGTTAAGATCACTGGCTGTTCTTGCAGAAGATCTGGGTTCGAATCCCAGTACCCACATGGCAGCTAACAACTGTCTGTAACTCCAGTCCCAGGGGATCTGACAGCCTCTTCTGACCTCCGCGGGCATTGCACGACACAGGGTGCACTTACCTACAGGCAGGCAATACACACATACACATAAAATAAAAATAATAAATAATTTTAAAAAATGTGGCTGGAGAGATGGCTCAGTGGTTAGGAGTTTGATCCCCAGATCCCATGAGGTGGTGGAAAAGAACTGATTCCTAAGACTTGTCCTCTAAAGTCACACTGTGACATGTGTGCAAACACACGACATGTATACACACAGTGTAAAGAAATTTAGTTAAAATTGCTCCTATAGGCCAGGCGTGGTGGTACATGCCTTTAATCCCAGCACTAGGGAGGCAGAGGCAGGTGGATCTCTGTGAATTCAAGGCCAGCCTGGTCTACATAGTGAGTTCCAGAACAGCTGGGGCTACAGGGAGACCCTGTCTCAAAAAGACCAAAAAAAAAAAAAATTGCTCCTATGCCCCAGAATTAATTCATCTTTCCACCCAAAAAGGAAAGTCACAGTAGGCACTTGGTTCATTTATATTAAAAGAATGGAGAGCCAAACATTGCAGCACATACCTGTAATTCCAGTACTCAGAAAGCTGAGGTAGAATTATGAGTTCAAGGCCAGACTGCACTACATAGAGAGACCTTGTCTAAGAAAAAAAAGCAATAGCCCAAAACCAAAGTCAAGAAACTGATATTGGGCCTAGAGAGATTTCTCAGCAGTGAAGACCACTTACTGTTCTTGCAGAGGACCTGGGTTTGGTTCCCAGCACCCACATGGGGGCTCACAGCTGTCTGGGACTCCAGTTCCAAGGAACCCAACACCCTCTTCTGGCCTCCAGGCATACATGGGGTGCACATACATGCATCCAAGCAAATGCTTATCCATACAAAAGAAAAATAGATCTTTCCAAAAGAAAAAAAGGAAAGAAACAGGCCTTTTCCAAACTGACCAGGGAGGAGCACATTTTGCAGATGAAAAAACTGAAGTATAGAGACGGAAAGCAACGTCTTCCCAAGTGTGCAGCAAATAGGGCAAACAGGGCACCCAGACAGCAATGTGACAGGCAAAGGGGAGGGGTGGTCTTCCCAGGAAACTCACCGTGCTTTATTACAAGCTGATCTGCCAAGCCAGGAATGGCATCAACCAACTTGCCAAGAAGTGTCATTGTGGCCAGGCTGCCTCGCATTGAAGACATGTTACACAGCTGCAGAAAGTGAACACATTCCGCCAAGTCAGAATCAACAGATTTCTGACTAAAACTAAGCCTGCCCTATCCAAATCAGTGCCCGTATCACACGTCACACGTTTCTCATCACATCAGCCTCTTTAACCGAGTTTTTATTCCCTCCATTCAAGTGGAAATTTGAGGAAAGAGACTGAGTGAAATCCCTCAGTCCTCAGTACCTAGCTTAGTGCCTGCTTGTTAAACTGTATTAACATTAACATACTTTGGCTGGGGTGTAGTTCAGTGGTTAAGCACTTGGCTAGCATGTTGAGGTCCTGGGCTCAATCCCTAAAGCAGGGGGAAAAAAAAAGCATGTTTGCCTCCATTAGAACTAGAAACTGGAGGACAAAAGTTCATAAAGGTAAAACATGGACTCAGTGCTAAATATGTGTACACACAGATTTAGCTACTATTCTTGATTTAACTTTTTTAAATAAATTTTTATTATTTTTTATTTTATATCTATGAGTGTTTGGCCTGCATGCATGTAAGTGCACCACCTGCATGCAATGCCCGTGGAGGTCAGAAGAGTCCAGACAGTTGTTAGCTGCCACGTTGATGCCTAGAAATGGATCCTCTGCAAGAGCAGCCAGTGCTTGTAACCACTGAGCCATCTCTCCAGCCCCTCAATTTAATTTTTTTTGTGTATGTAGATATAGTCCTGGGGACTGAACCCAGGGCCTCATTCTATCACTGAACCACATCTTTAGCATAATGAATAAATGTCACTTGCTGATACATGTGAATCTTTTTGTTTGTTTGAGACAGGGTCTCATGTAACCCAGGCTGACCCCAGGAGGGTCACAAGTTCAATGCCTAGGCTATGCATGGAGACATCACTTCACAGTGCCAAACATATAGCGAGCACTAAATAAATGTTATTGATGTCATCACAATGAAAAACATTGATATGTAACTATAAATTTAATCTAAAATATCAATACATGCAAATGATTACAATATAATTTAAATATCATATGTAATTAAATATTGTTCTTGATGAGGTTAAGATGAATATTTGTCTTCCTTCTGAAAAATAAATAAAAAATTATTCTAAGCTAGGTGTGGGGGGGCACACCAACCCAGCACCTACTCAAAGAAGGGCTACCTTAGCTCTGACAGAATCAGGATTCAGTAGGGCTTCAAGAACTCAGTTAGGTACCAACCTCTCTGTGGCACTCATTCAGCAGACAGTGGATGGCCTGTTCCAGCTTCAGCTGAGTGGTAAGCTGGATAAGGACTGAAGAGACATGATAGTTAACCAGGAGACAGACAGACAGACTCTCTCACACACGCACACACGCACAAACCCGTAATTCAACTCTCATAGCTCCTGTACTCACAGTACAGGGCTTGACCATAATTTGCTTGTGGCAAATGGTACCCATCTTTTCTATCTTCTCTACTGAATTATGTGTACCTGTCTTCATTGTTTTGTATTAGCAGTTCTCAATGAAGGCTGCACATCAGAATCACCTAGGTAGCTTTAAAAACATACTAATAGGGGCTGGAGAGATGGCTCAGCAGTTAAGAGCACTGATTGCTCCTGCAGAGGACCTAGGTTTGATTCCCAGCACCCACATGGCGGCTACGAACCATCCTTAACTCCAGTCCCAGGGGAATCCGAAGCCCTCTTCTGACATCCGCGGCATTGCATGACACAGGTACACTCACATATATGCAGGCAATACACTCATACACATTAAAAAAAAAACATACTAATAAGCACCTAAAGCTACGGCTAAGGGATGAAGTACTTGCTTGTCATGTGTGATATCCTCGGTTTAATCCCCAACACCACCAAAAAAAAAAAAGAGAGAAAAAAAAAAGGAGGAAGAGGAGGAGAAGGAACTGGAGGAAAAACACTAATAGCCAAGTCCCACTCCAATTAAATCAACCCAAGTATCTTTATCAGTTACTTGTTAACCTATTTTGAGACAGAGTCTCACTCACAGCCAAGGCTTTGAACTCACTATGTAACCAAGTATGACCCTCAACTCCTAATCCTCCTGCCTCTATCTCCAAGTGCTGGGACTACAGGCATGTGCCACTGTACCTGGCTCCCAAGAATATTATATTCTTTTTAAAAAATATTTTTTATTTATTATTTTTATTTTATGTGTACTCTTGTATTGCCTGCACGTAGGTAAGTGCACTCATGTTGTACAATGCCGGTGGAGGACAGAAAAGGCTGTTGGATCCCCTGGAACTGGAGTTACAGACAGTTGTTAGCTGTCGTGTGGGTGCTGGGATTGAACCTGGGTCTTCTGCAAGAACAGTCAGTGTTCTTAACCTCTTAGCCATCTCTCCAGCCCCATCAGTATATTTCTTTAAGAGTTCAAGGGATTATACTTCCCAGACATTAGGCTTAAGTCTATAGGCAAGAATTTTATATTCTTAAATGTGAACAAATACAGACACATATATGTCAAATATATTGTATTTAAATTTTCTTATATTTTTCATTACATATTTATGTACTTATATATTATATTCTATAGCTTATACTTTAAAACGTTTCTTCACACACACACACACACACACACACACACACACACACACACACACGTGTGTGCAGAGAGTAGAAAATGGAGTTGGTCCTTTTCCCCCACCTGGGAATGTGGGTCCTAGGAATGGAACTTGATGTCAGGCTTGGCAGCGTGCACCCTTACCCACAAAGCTATCTCAAAGACCTCTTAATATAAAATCTGAGAATATTGCTGAAGTTCTCCCAGCAAGTCTATTGAGAAGCCAGAGTTGAAAACAACTTCATATTAGCTCTGGGTTTTTTTCTTCTTCAGAGTTTGCTCCTTTATATACAATAAAATAGTTATAAGTGAATTCCTAAGCCAATTAACAGTCTCTCAGCCCCAAATCTACCTGCTATACAATTATTGAGATGCTTCTGCTAGTATTTTTAAAATATTTTATTTTTATTTTATTGTATGTATGAGTATATTGCCTGCATGTATGTAATTGCACCTATGTCATGCAATGCCCATGGAGGTCAGAAGATAGCATCAGATCCCCTGGAACTGGAGTTGCAGATGCTTGTTAGCCACCATTTGGGTGCTGGGAACTGAACCCAGGTCCTCTGCAAGAGCAGCCAGAGCCATCTCTCCAGACCCTTAGCTAGTATTTTTGAGAAGCACAGAGATTGGCTCTGCAAGATTAGAAAATCTACAATGTAGTTTTTTATTAGCCATTGCTGGATGGTTCTGCCACTGTCAGACTAAACATTGTAAGACAGCACCCCTAAAGCCAGAAAGCAAGCACGAAGCAAACGGCCACCAAGATACTGCACCCAGTTCTTCCACCTTGTGGTTTCCCTCTAGTGCCTCCCACCTCAATGCACATTCTTAGGGGTCTGATGATGGTTCTGCAAGATCAGCTAGCACCAACCAAAAGTGGACAGCTACAGGCTTATAACCCCATTCAAAGGTGGCCATAAAGGAAAATTCCCAGTGAGCCTGGGAATGTGGCTCTGTTGGTAGACTGCTTACCCAACATACATAAAATACTAACTACATTCAATCCCCAGCACCACATAACACCGCGTGTGATGTCACACCTTGTAATCCCAGCACTTGGGAGGATCAGAAATTCAAAGTCATCCTCAGCTACATAGGGAGTTCTAGGCCATGTGAGACCCTGTTTCAAAGAAAGAAGGGGGGAGGGAGGGGGGGAGGGAGGGAGAGATAGAGAAAGGGAAGGAGGAGAGAGAGAATGAGAATGAAAGGGAGGGAGGGAGGGAGGGAAGGGGGAAAAGGAAAGGAAAGGTTCAGTGGTCAGAACCTCAAGTGTTCTGACCAAACTTGAACGGGGTTTGCCCACACACCAGTCTGGACTGATGTGGTCAGACGCAGACACAGATCACATTGATTTATGGGATGTTCATGGACTTGGGAAAAACAAAACTGAAAGATCGATGACAAAGAGGCCGGGGGAAAACGGAACTTTCAGAATGGATACAAGGTGTGTGTTTCAGGAGGCTGGAGAGTGGCTCAGGGTTGGGGGATCCAGGTTCGATTTTCAGCACCCACATAGCGGCTAACAACTGTCTATAACTCCAGCTCCACAGGAATCCCCTTCAGCATCCCCTTCTGACCTCCACGGGCACTGCAAACACAGGTGCACTTACATGCATGCAGGCGATACACTCATACACATAAAAAATTAAAAATAATTAAATAATTTTTTAAAGGTATGTAGCCGGGCGTAGTGGCACATGCCTTTAATCCCAGCACTCGGGAGGCAGAGGCAGGTGGATCTCTGTGAGTTTGAAGCCAGCCTGGTCTACATAGCAAGTTCCGGGACAGCTGGAGATACTGGGAGACCCTGTCTCAAAAAGGCCAATTAATTAATTAGCTAATTAATTGATTAAAAGTTTAAAAGGTATGTGTCCCAGATAACTGCTTCCTAGGGAATATCTACGACAGAGGAGGTCCCGCACAACCAAGGGGACAGAACAGCACATGTGATGGATGTCACTCCTCTTCCCTGAGCCACATGGAGTTCATTTAATGGGCACAACTCACAAAGTGACTGTGGTGGCAGACTTGGAGGCTAGTCACGAGCTCGGCATAGACAGTCCCTCATGAAGGTTGAACTGATTACTGTTACCACTGAGTACCTAACCTACCAATAGCAGAGAACGCCACTAAGTCCACAGTACCGCACTATTCCCGAGGGGACCTGTCATGTGCTGTTGGGTAGATTATATACTGTGCCCCTTCCATCATGGAACAGCACAGATCTGTCCTCACTGGAACACATATGTATTCTAACCATATAACACATCTATAAGTTTACAGAATACTTTGTTCACTGTCGTAATGTACCACACAATATCCTTTCATCAAGGAACTCATTTCACAGCAACACAGGTGCGGATGGGGGCTCAAGCCCATGAAATGCGCTGATCCTGTCCTATATTTCGTCACTGGGACCCAACTAACAGAATGCGAAAGGGCCTATGAAGACTCCATTACGGCACCATTTAGAAGTGAAAGGAAGGGCTCCTAGCTTAAGGGGGCTGTGTTTAAATCAGCAGTCCACATAAAGGACTGTCTTCACTGTAGGAGGAAACACTGATCAGGAATCAATGGGGAAGTAGGAATCACTCCTCTTAGCACACTTGGAGAATTTCTGCATCCTGTATTAGCTATTAGGAATTCCATAATAAAAATGCCATAGACTTGGGGATTCAAATAACCAAATTTCTTTTCTTACAATTCTAGAGGCTGGAAACCTAAGATTTGGTTTCTCCTGAGGCCTTCTCCTCAGCTTACAGATGCGTCCTCACATGGCTTGTATGCATACCCAGAGTGTCTCTCTGCCTGTTCAAATTTCCACTTATAAAGACACCAGTCAGATGGGATTAGGACCCAACCTACTAGCCTCATTTTAACTTGATTGTGTCTTTAAAGGCCCTATCTTCAATTAGATATGAGGTACTGGGAATCTGGGCTTTAACATATGGATTTGGGGGCGGGTATAACATAATCCAGCCCAAAATATATCCTAGCCCACAACTTTGAGCTCTGCTATTTTAAAGATCTTGGCTCCTCAGAGAGGAATGTTTCCATGAGACATGAAAGGCACACAATGACATCAGTGAATTGAAAACTGTAACTGTCCTCTGGCCATTTTGAGCTCTTCACACCACTGAATAATAAATAGACAAAGAAGGGATTATTCTATTTGGAAAGATCAATCCTGATATCCACAGGGAACCTGTTGCTACCAACAACAGGAACATGGAAGATTGTGTCTGCAACCAGAGATTACCCAGGATATTTCTTAATACCTCCATATTAAAAAGTATGTATCGGAAAACATTAGCAACCAAAAATAAACTGTCAGATCTTTTAGAAACAAAGCTTTGCGGGGCTGGAGAGATGGCTCAGCGGTTAAGAGCACTGACTGCTCCTGCAGATGACCCAGGTTCGATTCCCAGCACCCACATGGCAGCTATGGACCATCCTTAACTCCAGTTCCAGGGGAATCCGAAGCCCTCTTCTGACCTCCGCGGCACTGCACGACATGGGTACACTCACATACAAGCAGGCAATACACTCGTACACATAAAATAAAAGTAATAAAATATATAAAAAAAGAAAGAAAGCTTTGGGTCATTCAACCAGATAAAAACTCTGACCAATTAAGACCTCCAATGCAGCAAAGAATAGATAAAATGGAAATTAAGAAAGAAATTTCAGCCGGGCATGGTGGCGCACACCTTTAATCCCAGCACTTGGGAGGCAGAGGCAGGGGGATCTCAGTAAGTTCAAGGCCAGCCTGGTCTACACAGTGAGTTCCAGGATGGCTGGGGCTACAGGGAGACCCTGTCTCAAAAAGACCAAAAAAAAGAAAGAAATTTCAGGGGCTGAAGAGAAGTCCCAGGTTTGAATCCCAGCACCCACATGGCAGCTAACAACTGTCTGTAACTCAAGTTCCACGGGATCAGACGGCCTCTTCTGTCCTCGAGGGCATTACATGACACAGGTATACTTACCTACGTGCAGGCAATACACTCATACACATAAAATAAAAATAATAAATAAAATACTAAAAAAAAAGAAAAGGAAAGAAAAGAAAAGAAAGAAATTTCAGGGGCTGGAGATGTAGCTCAGTGTGAGAGCACTTGCCTAGCATGTGCAAGCCCCTGAGTTGGAATCCCCAACACCAAAAATAAACAAATAAGAAATTATAAGCTAGAAATAGTGGCAATTACTTCCACTAAGGAGACTAAATCAGGACAATCATAAGTTCAAGGTCAGCCTGGGCAACATACTGAGACACAGCTGAGAGAGAAAAAGAGAATATATTTACTACAACCTTGTGATTAGATCTAGAAATGACTATAATTTTGCATGTGCCTACATTTTGTATATATTAGTTTCTTCTCATTCCTCTATCATTTATACAAGATGTACCTTGTTTTAGTCTCCTTTTGTGTGTGTATGCATGTTTGCATGTGTAGGTAAAGGGGTGTGTGTGTTGTGTGCACATGCATGGGACACCTGTGGTTGCCGTGGAGTATCTTCCTCAATGTCTTCCTCTGATTACACTGAGGCAGGGTCTCTTTCTGAACGCAGAGCTGGCCGTTTCGGCTAGTCTGGCTATCCAGGTCACTCTAATTCCTAGTCTCCACCTCTTTGTGCTGGGATCACAGGTGGGCTGCCACACCCTCCCAGTGTTTATGGGAGTTCTGAAGATCCAAATTCGGGCCCTTGTGCTTGTGCATCAAGTGCTTTACCCAGTGAGCCATCTCCCCGGCCCTGAAACACAGTCTTTGGGAAATACAATATTCAGATGGACTGAATTTGAAAATTAACTATTTCATCTCCTTATATCAAATAGAGAATGGCTTCATCTTCATGGGATAACGACACAGAGGTATAAAGCACAGTGGCAGCTCAGGAGATAGAGTTACGTGTTGTTCTACAGCGTTCAGTTGCATACCGATGTATGTATAGACAGCAGACAAAGGGATGAACAGTCAATTATTCAACTGTCTTTCCGGTCCAAACCTATCCTTTCATATTTGCTTTAGGGTACTGAGGCTAGAATGTGCAAACTACATGTTCTGCTTTACCAGCTGGTTCTCATTAAGCTCTGCCAATAATGGACAGGGGAAGAGATGGCAGAGCCAGAGGAAAAGGAACGTACTCATTTCTCTTTGCTTCCTCTGGCTTTCCTGTTCGTTGGTGATCTGCTTCCTATTCTCAGTATTTCCCCTACACTTCCTTATCCTAGTGTAAGACGGTCCTTCCATTACATTACCTGAATTCAGTGCACAGTTTTTCTAAAATTAGCTTCTTTGCATTCTTCTTCCCCAGAAGACACCAACTGATGATGACACCTCCGGCCAGCACCCCTCCGGAGACCAAGGTCCCAAGCTAAGCTCAGAAACTTGGCAGTATCTAAGCAGCATACTGAGTATTGTACATAGGACCCACCCTAAACACTTGTAAGTGTCATTACCTCTAACCTCTTCCCTTCGCATCCCCAGCCCCAGGAGTGGACACTACCTACCAGGGGTGGTTGCTTCCCCCACGAAAACTTAGTGGTTCTTTTTGTCGCTTCAGTTCCCTACTTCAAAATTCTTTAAAGTTTTCTGTAGCCCCAGCCGTCCTGGAACTCATTATGTAGACCAGAATGGCCTTGAACTCACAAAGCTCTGCCTGCCTCTGCCTCCGAGTGCTGGGATTGAAGGCATGCGCCACCACGCCTGACTAAAGCTTTATTTTCTGTTCACACCACTGGTATGGTCTCTGGATCCTAACTGGAACACTTCTCACTCTGTAGAAGTCTGCTCACCCCAGTACCTTCCTTCCTTCTGGCTCTACAAGCCCTTTATAGGTAAACACATGAACTTGCATACTTTTAACCTGTACCTGTGTGCAGTCAAGCTTCAAGAAATCTACATGAGGGCTGGGGGCTGGAGAGGTGATTGTCTTATCCATCTACTTATCCCTAATGCCTAATGTAGTGCCTAGCAGAGTAGATGCCCAAGAAAGAAATGTAGCATTACTTAGAAACTAATTAAGTTCTCTTTATAGGTGTCTAATTGGGAAATTTCCCCAGTCTCAAGAAACCAGAATTACAATTCAGGCTTACTCCTTGCTGATGGTGGGTGCACAGCTTCTCCTCACCTTCAATGCAGAGGTCTGTTACACTCCCATCTTCCACTTTGCATAACAGTCCTTGAAGCAAAGGAGGTAATAAAAGGTGATTAACAGTTCTCTCTCTTTTTTTTTTTTTTCTGTCTTTTTGAAGCAGGATCTCCCTGTAGCCCCAGCTGACCTAGAACTTACTATGTGGACCAGGCTGGCCTTGAACTCACAGAGGCCTGCCTCTGCCTCCCGAGCGCTGGGACTACAGGTGTGTGCCACCACGCCCTGCAACATTTCTCTTTTAAGATAAACAATTCCACAAAGGCAAAAACCATCCTAAATAAAGACCTCGCCTCACTAAATTCCACCCTCAACACAAAATACCTGGATTTTCAATGACCGCTCTAGTTTTAAGACGATGACTGTCAACGTGGCACAACAGAAAGACTATGCTCTGGGGTCTGTGGTGGCTCTGCCATTTGTTAGCTATAAGTTCCCTGAGCTTTGGGGATCATCCTGTCTCTCATAAAGCACTATCCCAGAGTTGAATGCTTGAGAAGCCTCAACAACACACAGGCACTAAAAGGGTGGTAGTTAACCAATTCAAGCTAAGTATCCTCTGCCCCCAAAGGACTCATTCCTTTTAATAATCATATTAAAAGGACCAGGGCTGAAGAGATGGCTCAGCAGTTAAAAGCACTGGCTGCTCTTGCAGAGGACCCAGGTTCAATTCCAGAAACCACATAGCAACTAACAACCATCTCTAACTCCAGTTCTAGGGGATCCAATGCCCTCTTCAGGCCTCTGTGGGCACTGCATGCATGAGGTGCGCTTATATACAGGCAGGCAAAACATTCATCACATAAAACTTTAAAATAAAATAAATCCAAAGAAGGAACCATCTCACTTTACACATGAAGAAACTAAGGCACATGAGAAGGAAAATAACCTGAACAGGGTCATGTCAGGGTTGGCAGACTCCCTTCCAGGCCTCTGATCCTGAGCAAAATCTAAACTGGACTCGGAAGAATCGCCCATTTCCTAAATTCATCTTCACACTTTTACTAACCTCTTAGATTTAACAAGCACAGTCACCATAAAATGATTCATGCAGCTTAGAAAGGCAGTCATAGCGCTATGATTTACTAGTAAAGTGCTACAATAATATCAAAAGTCTAAACCATCTTTCTAAGACCCCCCAAGGGAAATGTAAAGGCAGAATTCATGCCAAAGTCCCCGTTGAAGCTCACCATAAAGCATGCTTATGAAGTGGATGCAGACTCTCGGGTCCTGAGCCACCAGCTGTGTGACCAAGGAGGTGTGTCTCACCAGGGCATCTCGGAAGCAGAACACCACGTGCTTCTTGCGTACCAACTTTAAGAAAGTGAAAACATATTCAGTACCTACTGACTCAGTCATTCTGAACCCAAACAACTGCAATTTCCAAATATAATTATAAGATGGGGCACAGCGGTGGCCATCTAAACTATGGTGAGATCCAAACTCCCTATAGGATCAAGGGTACCACTTACACTAGGAAATTCATGTGTTTACATTGATGTTTCTATCTTATATGTACATAGCACTTTATTTACAAATCATTCTTTTCCCACCAACACATTTGGAGGTGAGGAATTTTTTTTTTGTCTCATGTAACCCAGGTTAGCCTCAAACTTACTATTTAGCCATCTTGTTTTAAACTGATCCTCCTGCCTTCATCTCCCAAGTGCTGCAATTACAAGCATATGCCACCAACACTTTTAAGACTAACAAGCTGGTGAAGCAAGCAAAATCAAATATCATCATCTTGTAGACGAGAAAACCAAAGGTTTGGAGACTTTCCCAAGGACTCAAATCCAAGTGTCTAAGAAGGCATGAAAATCAGTGCTCTTTCCACTTCACCAGTCTGGGAAATGATACTGGGATCCCCTCATGAACCTCAGAGAGGGAAGCAGACAAGTCACATCCCTCCATTCAATGTATGCATAAATCCTCACACTCAAGCCAGATCCCCGTACAATTCCTTGAAAATGCTCAAGACAAAAATTAAGTAAAAAACCCTTATATTTACAGACAAGTATGCCAGTCACCACTCATTAAAGCTTCTTTTGCAAGACAGAGACAATTACAGAGTTCTACAACTGGTCACACATAAAGTGTTGGTGAAATGCCCAACCTCAAGAGACACATCTACAATGGAATCTCTACACTTAAGACTCATGGAACATAGTGAAGTAAGGGGTAGAGAATACTAATGTCGCTCTCAACTCTCATCAACGGAGCTCCCTCATGCAACAGAGGGCAATGCACCTGGGGATCAGGGTGGCAGAAAGACGGTAAGAGCCAGGGAGGAGGTGCAGGACCACACGGAAACAGTCCTACAGGCTCCTGGGAACTTGCTCATATAAACTGACAGCAATGGTGTCACCATGCACAAGACCCATGCAAACTCAAGCAGACAAAAACCCAGCACAGAACTGTGGAAGTGGGCAGCAGGCCCCGATCTTAGTCAAAGAACTATAGGGCAGCTGATTACTGCTGGGTGAGGAAAAGCTGATCTTCTTTAAGTGAATGACTCTAGACAGGCTGACTAGACCCCAGTAGATGAACTTGCACTGAGGGATGTCGGGGAACTTGATTCTATAGGCCTTAATGTAAAAGACAGAATGCATGAAATCCAGTGGTGGGGCTACAGGAGACTGCTCATGAAGAAGGGGACATAAAGATGATTAAGATGTTGTGTATAGCCAGGCATGGTGGCACACACCTTTAATCCCAGGACTTGGGAGGCAGAGGCAGGTAGATATCTGTGAGTTCCAGACCAGCCTGGTCTATATAATGAGACCCTATCTCAAAAAATAAAATAAGGGGCTGGAGAGATGGCTCAGTGGTTAAGAGCACTGACTGCTCTTGCAGAGGATCCAGGTTCAATTCCCAGCACCCACATGGCAGCTAACAACCATCTGTAACTCCAGTTCCAGGGGAATTTGATGCCCTCTTCTGACCTCCCTGGGCACTGCACAACACAGGTGCACTTACATGCAGGCAATACATTCATACACATGAAATAAAAACAATATTAAAAATAAAATAAAATAATAAACACCACCCCTATTTCCTGGGATAAGTCTCCCATCTCCAAATCTGTGTTTTCAAAATGTTTTCTCCCAAACAAACCTTTGCTAATTCTCTTCCTTACCTTGCACAACACTTCACGGTCCATGCTTTTAAATTCCCATTGATGTGTGATTTTATTTTGCTCCTTATACTATCTTACTTATTTCTGAGTTGCTATCCAAAAATAGCAGCCTCAGAACTCCTTGACCTCTTTAAGCCTGGTAGCACACATGTAATCCCAGCTAACAGAAGACTGAGGCAGGAAGTTTAAATGTTTGACGGTCATCTTGGCCTACTTAAGTGAGGCTAAGGCCTCACTAACTATCACAACAACAATACAGAGCGAACTTCCGGTCCCAGTGAAATTGTGTAAGTTATGAGCTGCCTCAGCAGTTTTCAGAGTGTGGACTGGGGACACCTGGCAGTACCCAAAACCTTTCCCAGGGGTCTACAAGATCAAAATTATTTTCATAAAACATTACGTTTGTGGAACTGGAGAGATGGCTCAGCGGTTTAGAGCACTGACTGCTTGTAGAGAATCCAGGTTTAATTCCCAGCACCCACATGGCAGCTAACAACCATATGCTTGAGCCCCAGATGCTGAGATCTGGGGCTCAAGCAGACTGGGGTTCACTGTGCAGAGCTGATGGGCAGATTGCAGGGTAGACTGAGGCTGGCGCAGGTTACCCGGGGCTCAATGTACAGGGCTGGGGCCTGGGCTGCAGGGCAGACTGAGGCTAGGGCAGGTTACCCGGGTCGCCCTGTGGGTGCGGGATATGCCGGGGGGGGGGGGGGGGCTCGCTCGCACCGACACTCCGGACTCCGGCAGCAGCTCCAGCGTGCAGGCCAGGCAGAGGTGCGGGGACACGGGCAGCAGCCAGCGGGGGTCATGGCGGTAATGGGTCTTCTCGAGGAGCAGCACCGCCTCCTCATCTCTCCCCAAGGCAGGTGGGTCGGCAGCCTCCGTCTGCCGCGCAGCCATCTCGCCGCTCGGGTCTGCAGCACCTCCAGCTTTCCCGCGCAGCTTGTGCGCAAGCGCACTGGAAAGAGAGCGCGGCGCTCCCCTGCGTGCACGTGTACCTAAATGTGTCTGAGCGAGCGTGCGCGTGTGCCTAAAAGTGCCTACGCGTGCGTGCGCGTGTACCTAGATTCAGTTCCCAGCACCCACAACTACAGTTCCAGGGTTCTAATGCCCTCTTCTGACCTCTTCGGGCATTGTACAACATGGGTGCACTTGCATGCATGCAGGCAATGCACTCATAAAAAAAAGATAATGAAGTATTTAAAAATTGTTTTTTAAAGACATTCTCAACAAAGTAAAAAGGCCACCCACATAATGGAAGAAAATATTTGGGAACCAGATACCTGATAAGGTATTACTAGCATCTAGAATTCATAAAGAACTCCTAATCAGGGATGCTGAAGGAGAACAAGTTTGAGGCCAGCCCTGAGCTACATAGTAAGTTCAAGGCCATCCTGGACTACAGTGTAAGACTCTAAAAAGGAGGGAAAGGGAGAGAGTGAGGGGTAGAGGTGGAGACGGGTAGAGGTGGAGAGGTGGGGGGGAAAATTCATAAAACATAACAAAACTGGGCGGTTGTGATTTATTTAAATATTTTATTTTATGTGCATGAGTGTGTTGCCTCAATTTAAGTGCACCCATGCTGTGCAGTGCCCACAAAGGACAGAAAAGGGCATCAGATCCCCTGGAACTGGAGTTATGGATAGTTATTAGCTGCCACATGGGTGCTGGGAACCAAACCTGGGTCCTCTGAAAGAGCAGCCAGTGCTCTTAATTGCTGACCCATCTTGCCAGTGCCTGACTTATTTATTTTAATAGCTAGGCATGATGGTACATTCCTAGGGAAACAGAGACAGAAGACTCATTCATTTGAGGTCAGTCTGGGCTGCATAGTCCAACCCTGTTTAAGACCAAAAACAGCAGGGAGCCACGCTGTCCCAGTGAGAAGCTGACAGAGGGAGATTGCACCTTCTGGGTTTTGCAGGCCCAGAAGGGAACCTCGTGGCAGAGGGGCCTGGAGCTGAGCATTTCATATCTGCTTAGCAAAGCCGGTACATCACCATGCTGGCTGCCAGGCTTGTGTGTCTCTGGACACTACCTTCTAGGGTTTTCCACCCCACTTTCACCAAGGCCTCCCCAGTTGTGAAGAATTCCATCAGGAGAAACCAATGGCTCTTAACACCCAGCAGGGAATATGCCACCAAGACAAGAGTTGGGATCTGCCGTGGGAAAACTGTCCAAGACCTGAAAGAGGTAGAGCTTTGGAGCCATCCATGAAAAAAATACTCAAAACTGATCAGATGGAGGAGCTGCTGCTGGTCTCGGAGCCTGTGCAACTATGGCTTAGGAATGTCTGAGATTGGAGCTATTGAAAAGGCTGTAATTTGGCCTCAGTATGTGAAGGATAGAATTCATTCTACTTACATGTACTTAGCAGGAAGTATTGGTTTAACAGCTTTGTCTGCCTTGGCAGCAACCAGAACTCCTGCTCTCAGGAACTTCATGATGAGAGGCTCTTGGGTGACAATTGGTGCAACCTTTGCAGCCATGATTGGAGCTGGGATGCTGCTCCAGTCAATACTTCATGATCAGAGCCCAGGTCCAAAGCATCTTGCTTGGAAGCTACATTCTGGTGTGATGGGTGCAGTGGTGGCTCCTCTGACGATCTTGCGGGGGGGGGGGCTCTCTTCTCCTCAGAGCTGCATGGTACGCTGCTGGCATTATGGGAGACCTCTCTACAGTAGCCATGTGTGCACCCAGTGAGAAGTTTCTGAACGTGGGAGTGTTCAGGGTCCGTAAAAGTCCCTAAATTGACCATTCGGACACTGAGTCTCAGTAAAATGGAGCGCTTTATTGGAGCCAACCGGTTGGTGACACAGACAGTCGTAGGAGCTGTACCGTGACCCTGAACTGTGAAAACAGGGCTTTTAAGCAGGAAAACCACAAAAACCACAAAGCAGGGGATGTCCATAGAAACTATACACAGAATAAACAAGGATTGGAACAATCTAGGGCTGATTTCCATTGGCTGTCTTACCTGGGGCAGAACGTTCTTTCTCTTCTGCCCCAAATTATTCCCATAGAGACCATACACCGATGTATCAGGTATACTGCCATTGGCTAGCTTATCTGGGGCAGAACGTTCTCTCTCTTCTGTCCCAGACCATTTCCATAGAAATTATAAACAGAGACCAGGAAAGGGTTTGAACAATGAAGGGGATTTCCAGAGGTGGAGGGCAGCTTTTTCTCAGAGGATAGGGAGGGAGGGTGGGTCTGAGGGGCACTCTCCTTCAGGAGCACCCTTAAGAGTGGGCCTGGGTCTTGTTGTGTCCTCACTGGGGTCTGTATCTCTCCCATCTTCCACTGTGGCTGGTGCCATGTATGGAGGATTAGTTCTTTTCAGCATGTTCTTTCTGTATGATACTCAGAAAGTAATCAGGCGTGCAGAAATAACACCAGCGTATGGAGTTCAGAAATATGATCCCATTGACTCAATGTTGGGAATCTACATGGATACATTAAATATATTTATGCGAGTTGCAACCACGCTAGCAACTGGAAGCAACAGAAAGAAATGAAGCGACTGCCTCTGGCTGTGCAGCTCGTCAGATGCATCACTTGTTTGATAGGGGCAGATAGTCATTTCAGTTTGAGGGCAGCTTTACTCAAGGTTTAGAAAATAACCTGTCATCGTGTTTAAATGTTTCACTAATATGACCCTTCAGGCCTGCTGTTTCTTTTAGAAAATAAATTCAATAGTTCTCTTCCAAATAGGTACATACATTTCCAGCTGTCAAGTTTGAGTAACTTAAAAATGCTTTCGTGACTGTGGAAACTAAAATTGTTGTTAAAATTTAAGTATTTTTCAGATGGTGGGCAAGTAAAAACTAGCAATTTGTGTCTGCATAGTTGTTGTGGGAGAGTGCAGGATATTGCAAGCAATGTCATAAGCAATTTCAGAGAAAGGTCAGAAGTGGCATACCATCATTCTGAATGCTTAGGACATAGCTGTGAGTGTGGTAAGCCAGAGGTCTGAGATGTGAGTTCACATGTGGTCGCTGGTGGTTCCTTCTGCTCTGCTCACTGGCCTGGGTGCTGACAGCTCACTGTCAGGATGGGCCTCCTACTGTGATTATGTATACATGAGATTTATCTGAGTCTTCTAAAACGAAGCACTTAAAACTATTCTCAAGATAGCGTAATTCATGAGAATGTTTCTTTTTCAGCACGTCAGCGTCTGGCTGAGCGCATGCCTCCTTTTCTCTGAGCTTCAGCAGCTGTCAGGCAAGCATATTTATGGTTTATACTGAGATTTGGAAAACAGGTGTCTTCTAAAACCGTTGGTGTCCAACACTCCCTCTCAGACTAAGCAGGAGAAAGCAGAGCAAGCAGTGTGGTTCTCTTTATGGAATACATGAATGAAGTGTAAAGGGAACATAGCAAGTGCTGATTAGCTCCCTGGTGGCATTTGTAAGTTTTGACACAGGTTATATTTGGAGGTCTGCCATAAATGAAAGTAACTAATTATTTACATGATTGCTATTTTTTTAATATTTTACTTTTTTATTTTGTGTGTATGAATGTTATGCCTGCATGTAGGTAAGTACACCTGTGTGATGCAGTGCCCTCAGAGGACAGAAGAGGATGTCAGATCCCCTGGGACTGGAGTTACGGACAATTGTTAGCTGCCATGTGGGTGCTGGGATTCGAACCTGGGTCTTCTGCAAGAACAGTAAGTATTTAACCACTGAGCCATCTCTCTAGTCCCATGGTTGCTATTTTTAAGAAATATTTATGCCGGACTGGGCTGCACCACCTGCCAGCCTGTTTCCTGGCCGACCACTGCTTCCTGATTCCTTGCATCCAGAGGGACCCAGTTCCTTCTCAAGGTCCCCAGGAGCCTTCTGGGTCTGGTCCCACCCTCACCTCCCTCTGCTTCCATGGGCCTGCACGACCCGCCATCCTCTCTCCAGGGTAAGTTGATCATGCCCTCCACGCCTTTGCTCCCCTAGCCTCATTCACCCTCCCATCACCCCCCTCCTCCTAGCCTGGGTGCTGTCCCATTCCTTGTCTTGGTGCCCCAGACACTGGGGAACCACCACTGCTTCCTGATCCTTTGCATCCAGACCAACCCAGTTCCTCAGTGCAGTCCCCAGGAGCCCTTGGGGCCTCTTCCCACCCCCATCTCCCTTTACATCTCTGAGTGTCCCAGCCACCAGCTGCCGAGACCAGCATCTTTCCTGGGCCCTGCTCCCAGGCCAGTCCAAACCCCAAATTCCTGAGGCTGAAATCTTTCCTGCAGGGATCCAGACCTTAAGAGAAAGCCTGAGAGCATCTGATCCTCATCTGACTTGGGCCTCTGTGGGAACTCCTGAAGACAAAAGCAATCTGGCCACTCCAATATAAAATCAAAAGAGAGAACTGGAAGCTTAGACAAATCAGCTTGTCATGCCCAAAAAGTAAACCACAAGGGCACATAAAGTTTGCAAAAAGAAGCAGACCTAAACTTGAAGACTTGAGTCTCACACAAGAATCAGAAACTACAAAAGAAATTCACATGTCAAAATCACATTAAAAAAAAAAAATAACATGAAAAACCAAAATAACATATCCCCACCATATACCAATATTCCTCTAGAGGAGTACAATGAGAACCCCCTAGAGATAATGCAGGACATGGAACTCAAAAGAACAGTTATAAACATTATAAAAGAATTCAGTGAATTTAAAGAACACACAAACAAAGAAATCAAAGAACTGAAGAAAGATAGGGATAAACTTCTGAATGAATTCAGAAGGGAGCTAGAAATATTGAAGAATACTGAGGCTAAAATGAAGAAGGAAGTGAAACACTCTGTAAGCCAATTAGAAACGACAGGAGAAAGCCTCACCAAGAGGATGGATGAAATGGAAAACAGAATATCAAGACTGGAAGATAAAGATGAAGAATTGGACCACTCAAGCAAAGATTATGGAAAATTTAAGAAAACACAAGAATGGAATATG